TGGCCAGCTGCCTGTGGCGAGCTGCCTATGCCGAGCTACCCGAGCTGTACCGAGCTGCCTATGCCGAGCTGCCCGAGCTGTACTGAGCTGCCTATGCCGAGCTGCCCGAGCTGTACTGAGCTGCCTATGCCGAGCTGCCCGAGCTGCCCAGTCGTCAAGAGGCTGCACTTGGTTTGCATGAGGTGCCAGGTGTCACAATTTCACTGGAAGGCCAAATCCACCCTCATCATTACCCATTTAAACATCATTTTTTTCTTAGGCTGCGTTTGGAAACAAAAAAGTTATCTATATAAGATTTTTTTGATTATCATATATGACTTTTACAGCTTTCGTATGATCTTACATTGGGAAGTATTTGAAACTTTTAATAGTTCAGGTAGTAAAATAACACATCCCCTATCTGTGGGGGTTTTTTTGGAGTTTACCCCTTTTCAGGTGGTATATGAGAGAGAGGGTTGTCAATGGGTCGGATCCAACCCGATGACCTGAACCAAATTGGACGGTTTTGGTTCTAGGAACAAAACCCGATGGATCGATTCTGGGTCCTGATATAAGGTCTCGATTACTATCGGTTCGGAACCGGTTCCACCATAGTGCCAAACCGATACCTGACCCAATATATATAATGTATTAAATAAAAATAAAGTATATATACTATACATATAATATTTAATATATATTAAACATAAATATTTATTTTTTATTTTTTATAATCAGGTCTATCGGAGCAAACCCGATAATCCCAAGAACCGATTGATTTAATTCCGAGTCCAAAAAATACAGACGCTATTAAGTCAGCTTCCGGATTTGGATCCTCAACATTTCATGTAGGGGCAGAACCGATTCTAACTGGTTCCGTCCCAAACCCGACCCGTTGAGAGAGAAGATGCTAAAGTTTAATTTATATAGTGGTTGCCTAGAGTGTTGCAGCAAAGTACTTACACAGTTACACGTACTACTACAAAAAGCCCACCCTGATGACCATTGTTTTCAACTTTATTTCAACCATAAAGCAAGCATATAGAAAATACAAACAAATAAAAGGCTCATCTTTCTTACTAACTTTACAAGAAAACTGTCGGAATATTAGAAGGTGCACGAATGAATGTCAGAATGTGTAGTGGAATTTAATTTAAGCCCAGAAAAAGGAGATTTTTAGAATATTTGTTCCCTCTGTATCCAAACCCATCTTTTCCCTGAGCCTTAATATTCTCTCTTCCGGTGTTGGCTTCTATGTCGGTGTTGGGCTTATTGCTGGGCTTGACCCACATTTCACGCATCAATCTGAGGCTTTAGATACCATTCCCTATCCAAAAGATTTTAATAATTTTGACAAGTGATGATCCACATCCACACCCCAAGCCCAATTAACTGGAGCACAACACAAGCAAATTTTTAGTTGTGGAAGAGTGTGGAGAACATTGGAATATATTACAAAGAGATTATTAGAACCTAAGGAAGCGATGCCTTCAGGAATATCTTCTGGGGTTCGTCTTCATCTACTCTCTTCTTTCACGTTTATCTATCTATCTATATATACAAGCCCTCCGACATAGCCATGGTCACAACTACAAAGAGAACATTCACCCGTAACCTTCAATCGACTACTGTTGCTTTCTCTATTCAGAATTTGAACCTCCGCACAGCATCATCAAGAAGAACAACATGCCTAAGACCAAGAGTCGACCTCTTTCATTGCAGGTTTGGTTCCCATCTCAACTGTGTTCATTTTTTCAATTGGGTATTGTTATGCTTGTGTCTTGAATTCTTGGAGATGATTTATTTCTACTTGATCCGTCTCCAATTAAATTGAGAAAAAGCCAAAGGCAATTTTTTTGGTTTTTGGTGGAAGCATATGCTTGGAACGTTAACTTGGTAGTACAGACTCGATCCATATTCAGCTTATGGGTCCAACCCATATACAAAGAGTTATATAATTCGGGGTTTTTTCCTTGTATTCATCTTTTTGGTTTGGGAGACAAGTAGAGTCGTAGGTGTATTTGCAATTTAGGCTCCATTTGAAAGGAGTACAAATACAAATATATAGAGTGCAAAATCTTATATTTTGTATTTTTTTGTATGTATTTATATTGTATATATTTGTATTCGTACTCCTTCCAAACTGAGCCTTAGTGTTTTTGGGTTTTTCTGTGAGTGAGGTGTTGTGCACAGTTTTATATTCTTCACCATTGTTGATTTTATAGTGATTTTCTACTCCTTCACACATAGACATAAGGTATAAGCCGAATCATATAAATCTGTGTATTATCTTTATTTACTCCTCTTTATCTCTGTTTTTCTTTGAATTTTGAGTGCTATTAAAATCTGTATTTCCGAGTTTTACACAAAAAGTATAAATGAAAGATAACAAACAAAGAGAGAAAAGATAAAAGGGAGAAAGAAAACTAGGACCAATATCTTTTTAAAATCATTTATTGGGTGTCTTCATGCATGAAGCATGATATGAACTTCAGTTGAGTTCAGAGAGAATTAACTGATTCTCTGCTTCTTAATTTGTTTCAGACCGTGGAGCTAAAGGTGAGGATGTGCTGCACAGGCTGCGAGAGAATTGTCAAGAATGCCATACAAAAGCTTAGAGGTGCAGAGCTAGCTAGCTTTCTATCGACTATGATATGGGAAAAACAACTCATATCACAAACGTGGTAGCAAATATCAAAATTCATGGGTGGATTTTGATTGATCAAAACTCTTTCCATATCATATTTTTTCTGCATGGGTCATAGATTTTCTTTCTATAATTATTTGATGCAAAATTAATAATTCTGCCAGTACTGAGAGAAGAAATAAGGTAACTGACTAACAAACTCCATTAATTGATGAATGAGTCAGGGGTTGATTCGGTGGAAGTGGATGTGGAGATGGAGAAGGTGACGGTGACCGGGTACGTGGATCGAAACAAGGTGCTGAAGGCAGTGAGGAGGAGCGGGAAGAGGGCAGAGTTCTGGCCCTACCCGAATCCGCCTTTGTACTTCACGTCCGCCACCAATTACTTCAAGGACTTGAGCAATGACTACAAAGAGAGCTACAACTACTGGAGGCATGGCTACAACGTCGGTGAACGGCATGGGAATATTCCGGTGTCTTACAGAGGCGATGACAAGGTCAGCAACATGTTCAACGATGATAACGTCAACGCCTGCTGTCTCATGTAATTTATATATCTCATTTTAATGTTTTTATGTAAATAAAATAAAATGAATTATGTATATTATATATTTATGATTTTCCATTTAATGTGCTGTTTTTCATTACTCAATAGTTCTCTCTTCGAAATTGACCTGATTCCTTTGAGGACTCCGGATCTCCTGCCCACAAGAACTCTGCCCACGTCTAGAGATGGGCAGGAGATCCGGAGTCGATTCCTCTTCACAGAAAATTATTGAGATGGGCTTGGGTTGCATTTTGGTATATGGCCCATCCATCCTAAAGACCACTCTATGGGCCTATGGCTCAGCCAACCATCTGGGCTTACAGATCAATCCGTGATGTCATAATAATGAAATTTCAAAAAATAAAATAAAATAAACCGATAGCCTGTTAAATGAGTCAGAGATTTCTCTTCTAAAGGTACAAAATCAGTAAAAAGTTGTGTTTGGAACGAGTGGTTCAACTTGGAACCAAATTGTCACTTGCTCATAGATTTTCATCATTCCATGCATTGAGGGCTCTGACGTTTATACCGTTCCTACTTCCCAATTCAAAGTTAAACATAACGCTGCAGTACCAAACGCACCTGCATCGTTTTTGTTGTTGTTGAGGTTTTAATATCCAGATACCTGAATTTTCGAAACAATCCAAAAGCCCAAGTCCCCCACTTTTGATTAGGGGTGACCATGAGTCGAATTCTTTAGGAGCTATTCGAGTTCAATTTGGCTTGGTTTTAACCGAGCTTCAAGCTGAGTTTGAGCCTAATAAAACTCAGTTCGCAAGTTGGCTCGAATAGCTATATACATAACAATAACAATAACAACAACAACAATAATAATAATAATATAACTCTAATCGAGTTCGAGCTCGAGGTCAAGCCTTTTACTACCTTGGCGAGTTGAGCTTGAATAGCTAAGTATTCGGCTTGGCTCGAATCAACCCCTACCTCTGATACTCAAAACGAGAAAACCACAAATTTGCATTAACTAAGAGCCTCTTTGGGATGGCTTATGCGTTTTGATCAAGCCACTATAGTTACTCGGCAATGGTTGAGATTTGACCACCCAAGTTCAGGATAAGCTATTTGGGAGTATTTTATTTGCAGTCATAAAAATAGTGTGTTCAAAAAGCACACGTCTGCATTTTGAATTTTCACCAAACTTGCTTCTGTCTTCTCCGTTTTGGGCCATCTTAATACATGAGAAGTAGACTTGTTCATGGGTCGGGTAGCCCGAAGGCCCGGCCCACACCCCGGTCGGGCTTGGACATGTAATTAGGCCTGCAGGCCTGACCTCGGGTCCAAAACAAGTCCGACTGTGTTTCAGGCCGGGCTCGGGATTTATCAAAAAAGCTCGACCCGACTCAACATTATATATTAATATGTATTTTATATAATATAAAATATATAATATTTATTAGAATATATATATATATATATTAATAATTTAATATATACATTTTTTATTTTTTTCTTTATAATTTCTCTCTCTCTCTCTCTCTATTCAGCCGCTTCAGCAATAGTAGCAGCATGAGCTAGACTTCGGGCTCAAGCCCAAGCCTAGGCTTCGGGCTTTTTATGAGGGTTGGGCTCGGGCCCAAGTTGTAGGCCCGATGGTCAGGTCAAGCTCGGGCTCGGGCCTTAGAAGAATCTGTTAATGTAGAGTAAAAGCCCGACCTGGCCCATGAACAGGTCTAATGAGAAGCCATTGTGCCAAAGCCCATCCAAACGGGTACTAAGAATGTCATACCAAGATTTCCATTTAACTTGAAAACCTAAATGGTAAAGACTAATCACCTAGATTTGCTCTTTACAAAATGCTCCTCACAGCACATCCCACCGTGCATGCGAAGATCCCCCACGAGATGCTTCCAATGTGCGGTTGAGATGTGTTGTTAGGAGCAAATCCAAACTCCTAAGACCTGCATCAGCAAAGGTATGGGATCTGATCCTCACAAATGGGCACCTCACAAGCACATCCACCGTGCATTGGGAACATCTTCCGTGAATTATAACTAATAAGTACAAGAGATGTTCCCAATGCATTATAGGATGTGCGTGTGAGATACCTATAAGGCGCTAGGTGTGAGGAGCAGATCCGATCTCTAGTAAAGGCTGCCACCTCAAAAAAATCCTGGGTTGTTTAGGCTGAACTAAAAGACTAATCATCATCTCTGGCTTCCACCAGGAAGGATTAATAAGGGATGGACTGTGAGAGAGAGAGAGAGAGAGCAGGAGAGTATAAAGTGGACTGATCTCTTCAGAGGGTTGCAGTTTGGGACTTTCGGGTTTGGGTAGCTAGACAGATTCAACCCCCAATTTTATATCACTGGCCGGGTCCAGAATTTTGGACTTTATATATATATATATATATATATATATATATATATATATATATATATATA